AAAGAACAATTGGTTATCTGTTAATTGGTTCATGTTATTTCAGGACATTTTCTTGACTTTTTGCTGACTTCAGGTGGCAGTAAAAATAACCCAATACTTAATCCATCTATATTTAATCCATCAATATTTAATCCATGTCCATGTCTGTTGATGAGCTGAGAGTCAGAGGCAGATTCAGCAGGTAGAGTTCTGTCAGGTGAGCAGAGAAGGTGTGAATGAAATGTAAAATGTTTACTCAAATTAATATTTATTTTGAGTACATTCTAGTCAGCTGTGTGAACTTAATGAAAGAAATTATGGATCTAAAAGCATAATCTACAGCATGATTAACAACTTTCATTTCATTTCATTTCATTTCATTATCTGAGCCACGGCAGTGAGTTTAAAAACAGGATGATTCAACAAGAATCTGTCTCTAATTTAGTTATTTAATCAAGTGTTTTTTTATGTAGGTAAAAGTGTGTTTAGGAACCTGTAAAACACACCAGAATGCAGGAAACTGCATCTACGAGTTTCAAAATTTTCTGGTGGAGGACCCCCAGACCCCCCACTAATGCCCCCCTCACACACATCACAATGCTTCTGATGCTCATTGCTCAACATTAGAGAGAATAAACCAACACACCTGTAGTACACCACCTGTGTACTACAAACTGAACTGTGTTCTATGAAACTAGCTGATTATCAAACTGTACTCCTGGTGAGTTTAAAGAGCTGCTACAGTACATAGTATAATGCAGCCTGGTGAACATCATATAGGTGTGATTGAGTACACATTATTGTACCACAGCAGAAACATTTACTTTGTTGTTTATGAAGTGTGAAGAGGCAGGTTTTGATCAGTGAATACAAAATACAAAAATATTACATGCCTGTGCTACATCTTTGTATAATTTTTTTATATGTACAAAAATTGGGCCAGTCTTGGCCATTAAACTCCCGGGCTGAAAAGTTTCCCCACTCCGCCCCTGGTTAAAGGTACACGGAAAAGTAAAATGTGAAGCTATGTGAATTGTTGTTTGAGATGATGTTTTTATTTTTTAGTATTGTTTTGTAAATTATGTTTTGTTTGAATATATTCTGGGGTTAAAAGGGGCAGACGTTATAAAATTTATTCTCCTATTACCTTTCATTTTATTTTGATTTTTTTATTAGTGTATTTTCTTTGTTTTTTTATTGTACAGTAATACTGTTAAGAAAGCTAAACTCTATCTAAAATCTATGTCTGATTATGAAGTGAAATTAAATATCTGACAGTGATCATTACAAAGTGTAGCTATAATTCCTCACTTCACCATCTGTGTCGCAGCTTCCCGTCTCCAAAATGAGCGTACGCATGGGTCAGAGCTGGTGTGAGGGACAGCACATTTTCACGTCAAGTTTGGATTTTATAAATCACAACCTTGGCATGAAAAATGGTGTACGCAAGTTTCTGGGCTCTTTTTGTGCGTACGCAAACTTTATAAATCTGACCCCTGGTGACTAAAGGCCTCCTCATGGTCTGTCCAAGCCTATGACATCCACTCTCAGTGACGCTGTTACGCGACAAAAATTACATCATTTTGTTCCATCATGTCAACCCCTTTGGACATTTATCTGTATGATGACCCTCAGAAATCTGTAATTTTTACAAAGAATCCTCAGTAGTCGTGATGGTATGGCAATTTTTGAAAAAAAAAAAAAATCCATTAGATTTTCTCTATTGAACCTTTGCACGTGACGTCACGCTGTTCAGTGGTCCGCCATGACAAACGTCAAATGTAGTTGGTAGCCTGATATCACTTTTGTTTAGTTGATTTATCTGTAAAAATGGTCATACGTGTCAGCCCCTTTGGACTGTATCTTAAACCTGAAAAATTGGTAATTTCCACAAAAAATCTGTATCATTCACGTAATACAATGGGAGTAGAGGGACTTCAGGTGGACTGTCGGCTGTGGGGACAGGCAGACCATAGTATTATTATTATTATTATTATTATTTATTTATTTATTTATTTTTACATCTCACAGGTTTTGAGACATAAACTAAAAGTCAAGTTTTTGAAAAAAAAAAAAACCCTGTGAGACTCCCCTGCAAAATGAGGAAAACCCATGTAATTTACGGACAATCTGTGCAACTTGACATGTGACCATGCATTAACTGGTTGGCTGCCGGTCGACCATGTTGGGCATTTAAGGTGTTTGTGAATCAACAAGAGTCAACACCCGGAAGAAGAAAAAAATACATATCTGAAGTATACTTTTACTTTACCGACTGCAGTGTCCCATTCGTTTATATGGTTGTAGACAGGACTTAAAACATGTGCTTGAACTACAAGGCAGATGAGTGCTGCCCTGGCATTAACTTCTAGAGGTCCATCAATACACAGACTTTGGTTTATTCCATAGTTGCTGAGGCTGCAAATGATCAACAAGTCTAATCAGTGCAAAGGTTTACGCAACTCAGCACCATTGGTGTAAAAATAATCTATTCTCGGCTCTCATGTATTCACATAGTATCACGTTGTTAGTATCAAGTTTGGCTGAAAAAACAAACTGTAAAATGTGTAGAGCAGGGCTATTCAACTGGTGGCCCGCGGGCCAGAAGTGGCCAAAGTTCGGCCCGCCAATTGGCTCATTCACCTTTTCAGCCCAAACCTCCAGTTTTCTACTTTAATTATTCTAAATTATTTTAGTTAGACATAGACATGTTTGATGTCCACAGAAACATCACAATCTTGGCTAGAAGCTGGTAAAAAACATTTCTATAAACACTCAAGACAGTTAAAACTACAAGCAGTTGAAGATAAAACTATGAAAGTGAAAATAAAATTGGTTTAAAAATTTGGCAAGTAAGAGATGTCAAAATTATTATTTGTGTTGAATAGGAGGCAGAATGTGTTCCTTTTGTTTTTGATAATATTTAATTTTCACTACTTCTATCTTCTATGGGGTTCTATATGTTGTATTCATGATTAAATACAGCAAAATAAACTATTTTGAAGGTAACAGATCTTTGTAATACTTGGTTTATTTACACAATTTTAATTGCTGGATATTTTGCCCCTGAGCTGTTGACCTGCAGTAACTGTGGCCCCCAGAGTAATTTAGTCGAATAGCCCTGGTGTGGAGGTTTAATTAAAATAACTTATCTAGCTTTCTTTATTTTGCCATTGTTGGGATTTTGATAAGCTTCATTTGGATAGCCATACACCTAACCC